ACTTCGAACTCCTAGTTTGGTCGATGTTCACTGCCGCCTACGCCACCGATTTGGATGTGCAGAGCAGTGTCATCGATCAGATTTGGGCAAGGGTGTCAAGTAATTTCACAGACACCGGGATATTCGCCACGTATTATGGTTTGAGCAAGAATGATCAAGCTACTAATGTCTTCACAAGGTCGGAATAGTTACTCTTGAAATAGGCTATGTTGAACACCTATCTTCTGTGCTCTTCTAGCCCGACCATCGGCGGTATATTTGCGCCTCTATCACTGAGGTGGGTACGCAGTAGAACTTAGATGGCGATGCTTAACAAAGTTGATAGCGTGGAAAATATGGCCATCAACGTCCCTCCCAATACATCAAATACGTCTGGTGGTGCATTGGGTCCTCCTCCCACTGGCTTCTCTGAAAGCAAGTCTGGTCAAGCCTCCCATATCGGTGCCATTGCAGGCGGCGTGATCGGAAGTTTAGGCGGCATAGCTCTGGTCGGAGCCGTCAGCTTCTTTTTTTGGCGTAGACGACGTTCACCTTCAAAGTTCTCAAATGTGGCCGATCTCAATAATACAGCACAACTTACGCCTTTTCCTTTAACATCCCCGATTTTAACCTCGCCCACGACCATTCACTCATTGGAATCAAAGCTGGGAGACAAATTGGAAGAAAGACGAGGGACGGAAACACCGAGCGAGCCACCCATGTCTACCTTGCCTCCCAGATCCGGTAGCCAAGTCACATCGGCGGCGGCATCAAACACTTCGCAAAACCCAGTTTTTCCGTCAGACCTTCAGAACCTACGTACCGAGTTGGAGGGTATTAGGCGAGCAATGCAGACGATGCAATCGGTGAGCTTTGAACAGCCTCCAGACTACCAATCCGAGATAGCAACATGAGTACTGTACATCGGCCGCCACAGTGACAGTATAGCAGTTCACCTTAATCACGTCTTTCCTGTTTTCCATTCTGGCGGGGTACTGGTTTGTTAAGTTGTCTTAATCGACTTAATTTGCAAGTATACCGGGTAAATCGTATGGTAAATTCGGTAGGTCCGATTGAGGGTGATTCGGTTCTGAGCAGAGGGCCGAGGCTGAGTGCACCGATGCAGAAGCTAAGTCGAGTAAGTACACGAATTCGATGAAAGGGGACATGTGGTACGTACCTAAGGCAACCAAAAAGGAGAGCCCCGATCGTCATAGGCCGTATGGTGCGAACACTTCCTTGAACTCGTCAAACGTTTCGCGACCAAGGACAGCAAAGACCACGCGTTCGAACGAATGTTTGTATCGCGCTCCATCCTCCAACAGCAATTCAGCCCATATGCCAGCCACCATCGAGACCTTATTCCGGAACACACCCGTACCGAAACTCCCAAGCACAACGTCTCGCACACCCTGCGACTCGAACAAAAACAGCAGACGCGCCATCCGCTCCCTCATCGCGCGCGCGATGCGCTCCTCCTCCGCCTGCCCCGCGACGCGTGCCTTCAGCGTCTGGCGCACGACGCCAGCGTTGACCGCCGCGCTCGTGAGCACGTCGACCGCGAGCGGCTCGACCCATGCGCCGTGGTCGTCGCGCATGAGGACGACGTTGGGAGAGTAGACCATCGCGTGCGAGTAGTACCCGCCTTTCGCGTCGTGGTTGTGGAGCGAGTAGAATTCTTGCGCGACGCGTGTCATTAGGGAAGGGTAGAGCGTGCTCGAGCGCGCGATGGATTCTTCTTGTGCGGTGGCTCCGCTGAGGAACCCTCCCCCGGGCTTTTTCGCAGAGGCGAAATTCAGGATACCGATGCGCGACGGTGGACGCGTGGTGTTGGGTGCTGCCTGCCTAGCTTGTGCAGCAGATAAAAGACGTGCTCCTTCCAGAGTAGAGACTTCGTATAGAGATACTTCTGTCTTGTCAAAGGTGGGATGCGAAGCAATAGACCATGTCGATAAAAGGGAGTCTGGTGCGTAGTAACGCGTGTTCTGTTGGCATACAACTAGATTTGCTCCAAGGTCATGCTGGAGATATGATCCTTGTTCAATCGCCTTCAGCGTGTCCGTTGCAATCTTTCGAAGACCATCCCGTTTTGCGTCCCTTGGGGTCTCAAGCTTCTTTCCTTCAGTTCGCCTGTTCTTAGCTTCTCGGTTAGTTATGGTCAATTTCATGGCGAAGATGAAGCGTGCAGATTAGCAGATATCCTGGGTTTTGACTCGCAAATCGGTCACTGCCTTCAGCAAGATGGACGTAGTACACCAAAGGCCTCGTGTTGAACGTGGTGACTTTACACCGGAATGACTGCAAGAAGGAAGGTCGCGGTCCCGCTCTTTGGGATGCGGGCGCCATGCGCGCCATCAAAGAGAACGCTTATATAATGCGCATGCGGAACCGGTATCCGAAGTCCCTAGTTCGAACCCGACGCGGTCTCATTTCTAGCTGAATATCTACGACTTGTAAACCACCAGAGAGGAGCATTATCAAGGGAGGTGGGAGACACCGAAGGGACTAGCATGCAAAGCCGTTCAATGTTCGTCTATCTTAGCTTTGAACCCTGACCGTGAGGTATGGCTGTAGTAAATCCGCAGTAACAACGTTGCGAGGCCCGAATTAGCTTGCTTGTTCGGTCTCGTGAGTGTTTCCACCACCCCAGAACAAACACCACGCTACGCCGTAAAGAGCTCATAGCAGGGGTAGGTACAAAGTGAGCAGCCCTTGGGCCCATGGCGGTTGTTCACGGTGAGAGCTCGGCACAAAATAGGGGCTAGGAAGATCGCTGTGGCAAACTCCGAGGTTCAGACTGTGATTCGAGTCAGCAGTTGAGCTGAGGATGGGACGAGGATGTTGCAAATCGGGGGAGGAAAGGCGAGCAAGCGTCGGAGGGATAGCCACAGAACAAACACAAGCAAACACGGGCCGGTTATCTATTCCGCTGCGGAGACGCTTGCACGTCCCTCCCCCCACATCCTTCATCTCGGACGACCATGCCCCGCGTCGTCTTCCTCTCTTTGCTCGCCGTTGCACTCAGTGCGACAGCCACGCCGCTCTCTACGAGCCCATATGATATTCCCAGCGAGCGGTCGCAGTACTCGTCCGCGCCGCTGCTCGCCGCCGAGCACCCGCACGGGACGGTCAACAACTCGTATATCGTCATGCTCAAGAAGCACACGACCCCTATGCTCCTCCAGAACCACATGAACTTCCTCCAGCAGACGCACGAGGAGAACCCATTGGTTGCGGAGGACGCGGCATTCACGGGCCTGCGGCACATCTGGGACTCTCACATCAAGGGTTATGCTGGCACGTTCAGCGAACAGGTCATCGACGCCATTCGTCAGATGCCTGAGGTTGACTATGTGGAGATGGACCAGATCGTCCGCACTCTCGATATGAACGTTACGAGTGCGCACGATACACAGATAGGCGCCCCTTGGGTAAGTTCAACCATCTCCGTATGTCCGCTGTCATGTTGAACCGATGATAGGGTCTCGCCCGTGTGAGTCACCGACAGAAGCTCGGCCTCAGCACTTTCACTCGCTACATTTACGACCCGCGAGGTGGTGAGGGTGTTGACGTGTATGTCATTGACACCGGTATCAACGTCAACCACGTCGAGTTCGAAGGCCGTGCGAGCTGGGGCAAGACTATTCCACAGAACGACGTTGATGAGGACGGCAACGGTCACGGTACTCACTGCGCAGGTACCATTGCGTCCAAGAAGTACGGCGTTGCCAAGGCTGCGAATGTCATCGCTGTCAAGGTTCTGGGCTCGAACGGGAGTGGCACGATGAGCGACGTTATTGCGGGTGTTGAGTGGGCGACCACTACCGCTAAGGCAAAGGACGATGCCGCTAGGGATGAGCTTGCCAAGACTGGTAAGACCAAGCACAAGGGCTCTGTCGCCAACATGAGTCTGGGTGGTGGGAAGTCTCGCACCTTGGACGACGCTGTCAACGCTGCTGTTGACGTCGGTGTACACTTTGCTGTTGCTGCTGGTAAGTTATCTTCGACAATGTCGATGGACTCGTTCTGATATGTTTTCAGGTAACGATAACCGGGATGCCTGCAACTACTCCCCTGCTGCAGCTGAGAACGCTGTTACCGTCGGTGCTTCTACCATGGGTGACGTACGCGCGTATTTCTCGAACTATGGCAAGTGTGTCGACGTTTTCGCCCCTGGTAAGAGATTTCCAGTCTGTCCATGTGTGCCGTGTCTGATAACATCCATCAGGTTTGAACATCAAGTCCACTTACATCGGCAGCAAGTATGCTACCACTACCATGTCCGGTACCTCCATGGCTTCGCCCCACACTGCCGGTATGCTCGCCTATCTCCTCTCCCTTTACCCGTCAAAGGACTTCAACCCGTCGCTCTCCAACGACATGGTCCCCCCGGCGATGACGTTCTTCGCGCCCGCCTCCATCTCGGACGTCTACGGTGTCGTGCACGCTGCCCTCCCATCGTGGATCACCGCCATGCTGCCCGCGCCCGCTCTCGTCGAGGACGTCGCGCCCACGCCCAAGGATCCCATCTCGATCACGCCGAAGCAGCTCAAGAAGGCGCTTCTTGGGCTCTCGACGCCCGATATGCTCGACGACCTCGGTGACCAGTTCACCCCTAACCTGTTGATCTTCAACAACGCCACTGCCTAGGCAATTAAGTCTGTCTAGCGGGGTTGTCGAAGGCGTGACAGGCTCTTATGGGATCCTGCATTCCCCCTTTTATGCTGAGGGCTTTGCATGGTCGTTCGACGCACCCCTCATTGTTATGCTGCTTCTGTGCTTTAGATCTGAGGACATTTACTAGTGCTTCCTCGTGTAATGTTAGCATGTACTGGATTCACACATCGTTCGTTGTTGTGCTTTTTTTGCAATATACCGATCTTGTTTAATTGATGCGTACTCGGTGTGCTCGACAGCGTTCTCAACCCCGTTGGTCGCGATTGACTGATGGCGCGATGGTGTGAAGCTCTGTTGTCATCGGACTGATAGCCATCACGTGAACGGCAGCAATAGCTTCCATCGGTGAGATGGCCGAGCGGTCTAAGGCGCTAGACTAAGGAGTGGGATTTGAACCCGCTTTGGCATCTAGTCTCTCTCCGAGGCGTGGGTTCGAATCCCACTCTCATCATCACTTTTTTGCTCTGGGTTCTGCATTCATTCGATGGTATGCAGGTTCGAATCCCACACTTGCCATCTTTTCTGCCCTTACTGCATGCTTCGTGCGAGATTGGAGTGCCAATAAGATGCTACTGTTGTGATACAGAAACGTATGCTATGGCCAGATAGCGTGCTATGTATATACTTCGTATTTAGAGATATCACTAACTTCGCATATTCGAACAAGCGCTATATATTAGTGAATCGAGTACACCGTACCTGATTGCCATGAGACAGCCGCCAGCGTACGCTGTATACATAGTCCGATACTGCTTTGATAGCCCAGCTACCTGTCCATTACCAGAATAGGCCGACATTACCGAACAAAGAACCGCATCAAGCGGATATGTCTTCGCCACTCGTGATCGAAGAGATTTCGGACCACTGATCCAGGCTGTGCGGTGACGAAGTAGACCGTAGTCTAGGGACTGACTGTACGGTCTCAGTGAGTTTAGAACACATACAGATCTCGAAAGTGCAATGCTGACCACGGATGGCGAATCTGTTCCTCTACGTGCCGTGGAAGCATCTCCCCGGCTTGGCGGCCAGCGCGGTCTGTTATTACTGCTATTTGCAGTATTACTGGCGTTACTAGTTCCGTTATCCGGGTTGGTAGAGTTGGTTCCGTTATTGGTGTTTGCGTTAGCATTGGAAGGCCCAGCGGCGTTGCTCAAGATAATGAGCGATTCGTTGAACAGCCCACCACCCTTCCCGAGAGTTGGCCGCGGAGGCGAGCGCCTGTAAGACTGCGACTGGGAGCGTGTTGTAAAGCCCTGGAGATGCATTTGCTGGCCAGGGTTGGACATGCCTGTTTCGTTTACGGTAGATTGTGACCGAGGTTTGTGCCTGGGACTCGAGCCTCTCTGGGAGGACGCGCGAGTCTGATTCTCATACGTCGAGACCGGGCATGTTAATGGGGGTGAAGACCTGTTAGCGGCTGACTTGTTCTTGAATGATTGCAGATAGAGGCTAGCATTGCGTGCTGAAGGTCGGCGACCAGGGGCCTGGCTCCAGCAACGATTCATAGTTTGCCAAACCTCGTCAGGGATCGGTCGGGGTGACAAAGATCGAGGCGGACGACGTCCCTGGACTATGTTGATGGGCAATTGAAACATGGTGGTTGTGCCAGGAAAAGGTGTAGTGCGGGAGAAGATCTAATGCAAACGATTAGTTGCGAGCATCTGTCCCGTTAAGGCCCGAGCACGCTACCTGCCAGAGAATGCAGCCGAACGAATACACATCGCTTGCCCATGTGTGAACAACCTTCTCAGGTCGAACAGACTGAGACAAGATAATTTCGGGCGCCATCCAAGCTGCCGCACCGACAGTATTTGAGAAGGCACTGGATAGCGACGCGTCCGTGAAGCACGAGAGTCCGAAATCTGCCAATTTCACATTTCCCTCTTCATCGACCAGGACGTTGTTCTAGACAAGTGCTCAGTTGGATTTTGTTGCGTAGCTTTGTCGATGTGCCTTACACCATGAAGGTCTCCATGCGCAACCTTCTCTTGGTGTAGATATGCCAATCCGTCTGCCGTCTGAATAGCCTATAGACTTAATGAGCCGCTCACTCCGCATTGCATAATGAGCAAACAACTTACAAGACTAAGAAGTTGCATTGTACCTGGGTTCGTTCTTTCTATATATGTCGGTATATTGTCTTGGATCCAAGCCGAGACTAGAAAGGGTCTTTTCTGTCCTTCACAGATGTCCTCTTCCACGCCGATGAGGACAGATATGTTTGGATGAGTGAGATAGCTTAGCAGCAATATCTCTCGCTGCAGTATCTATCAACACATCAGTTCACTCGATCTATGACACGTGTGCAACACGAACCTTCATTGATTTCGAGCGTTGTTGTGGTGTCTGGCTTTGAAAGACTCTGGACGTCTTAATTGCTACAGCCATTCCTTCATAGGATGCCTTATAGATGCCGGAGTGCGCGCCACCAGTGACGGGACTAGGGCTTCGGTCAGAGCATCGCAAATACAGTGATTTTGGCAGGCAATTTGCCTCCTGAGACAGTCGGATATTGAGCCGAACGAGCTTCCGTCTAAATGTTTGAAGCCTCGTAGCCGGATCAGTATGTGGCGGCCTACTGCTCAGCGAGTTTATGAACTCTACAGGCCACGGCTTACTGACGGAAAGGATCTGTAAAAAGCGATATTAAGCGAAAACTTCGAGGTCTTGTCAAATGTACGGACCTTATGGATAATAGTCACGACACCTTTCGCCGCGGCGCCACGCAACCGCAATAGTTCGTGCTTTCTGTATCGATTGTCCATGATGTTCTTCAGGATACGGGCTACTTCCAGATCGTCCTTCGCTAAAGCTCCTTCATAGTTGATGTTCAAGTACCTGATTCGGAATGTCTAGTCGCTTCGTTGGTTGTGCGAAATCGGGTAAAGTTGCTTCGGGTCTGCTCACTGTGATCAGTCTCTCCCGTACATCAAATGCGCTAGCGATTAATTGCAAGGGAGAAGCTTGGGTCTGCTCAATAGACGTGTGACTGTAAACAGAACGCGTTAGATTAGCCACCTGGATCGTCGAATGACCATAACGTGAGTGCAGTGATGATTAACCTATCTGTGTCAGCATGTCCGCAGCTGTGATGGCGGGCTGACTGTCGAAGTATAGTCTTTGAAAGCAATATTGCGGTGTGCTAGATGGGTGATGAGTAGAGTCTATCAGTGGCATACTTCGGCGTACCTTGTAACTGCCACAACTCATATCGTACACATCTTCAACCCCTTGATAGCTTGACTAGAGCCACAGGTAGGAATTACATGAAAAGATCATATACAATAATAATCTTCACCTTCGCTCTGCGACGCTCGCGTTCAGGGGTTGAATGGCAGATGGTAGTGTGCCGACGTGCCAGACCTTCGGCTGCAGGCATAACCCGCTCCACCCCAGTTGCGACCACACATTGGGGAGTAGGGTCATCCGTTGTGCAACTAGGAGACATAGAGGGGGTAGTCTAGATAAAGTGAGGAGCAAGAACGCGATAGAGGGGACATTTTATCCAGAGATTACTTATAGTGCACAGCCCAGCTTACCTCGCGCCATCAGCACGACTTTCTGAGGATTCGACGGGTGTATACTTGCCATATATCTGTCCAAAGTGGCTGCATCAGACTTCGGCTACTATCTGATTGTATAACTCACCGCATTGACTTCGTGTGTTCTTCAGCGCAACTTGCAGAAGCCCACGTAGAGAACAAGTCCTACGAGTGTTTGTCGATGCTGTGTTAATGGTAAACAACAGTCACTGCTTGGGCTTAGAGCAATCGAATATAGATGAGGCTGTTCTGGCTCTCCCCGGCAGACTTTACGGGGTATGATGGTGATACTAGCGTGCTCTTTGCATCGTCTTCTAATCGGCCTGTTGAAACACTTCGGGTCTTCATCGACACTGGTCTCCGCAGGTAACGATGTAAGGTAATTAGACTGCCATCAGCTCGTTTTTGATGTAAGCCAGCATCTGCGAAGCCGTTCTGAAGTATATGTGAGAGCACCTGGGCTAATTTGGCACCTGGTCTTGATGCATGGGATTGTCAATTGTCTTCTGCAGATTGCAACATAAACGCCTCATCACTTCAAGCACTGCGGAAATCACGCATGTAAGAGGTACTAGTAGCGTTTTCACATAGACGGCTGCGAATGAACAGCCTGCTTGTATAGTGAGAGCCTGAGCAATGTATGACGTGCTTCAATATGACCGATTAAGAGCCAAAGATTGCACCTACCAACTTGCACCTATATCTAATACGTATAATACTATCGTCGTCCCGAGAACGCTGCTCGCGCTGCCGCTTCCGCAAGCACAGCCTCCGACGCCTTGTCTTCTTTCTGAATTCCAGAACCAGACCTAAGTAAGTGACGATGCAGATCTTCGGAAGCTGGTAGCGCACCTTCTTTTTCTGCGCCTGCAGATCCGCTGCCGGTAGCTGCCCTGCTTCTTGTAGCGCAAGGGCCTGGGTCGACCAGTGTCCAAGATAAACAAGCGATCACAACCGGTAAGACGTTCAAAGTCAACACTCTGTGTTCAAGGATGGACCAAATTGTAAGTCTGACCTCTGCACACCGAGTATACTTTTGTGTTAGTGAATACCCCCGTTTGAATCACATACGACGTACCTTCACCCCTCCGCATGATACTGAAGTGCGCTGCGCCCATCATGAACAGACCCCAGCTCGCAATCCCAACAAGACCGAACACTGCGCCGCGGTGCAGTACATCGTAGAATCCTAGCCTCGACTTAAAGATGGCCATACTCAAGCCTACTAGCCGTAGCTAGACGTGAGGACGAGCGGAATGATGGAGGACGAGCACAAGTTGCGCCAGCACCGGATCAACGTCCCGAGTCAAAATAGACGCTTGGACCGTGACCGTCGCATGAAAGTCATTGAATCAGAAAGACCTGTTGAATGGCTATGGCGGTTCCGAGTTCCCTACCTACTGCTGTGACGATAGTCTGACTAGCATGACCATCCTCAGGTCGTGGGCTCTGACGGTCCCGTAATGGACCCCGGAAGAGCACCCATTGCTTGAAATGTCTTATCTCTCGACTCTCTTTGACTCTTGCACCCATCATGTGCAAGCGTCGTGCTCACTGGCAGCTACACCTTGATCTCACATCAATTGTCCAACTCCATGTCCACAAAGACTTCTGATACAGATTTCGTCCGTGTATAAAAGCGCACTGAACGTCGGAAGTCAGGCAACGAACATTACAACCGTTTCTTGACAGCACCTGCAGTCGGACATGGCTTCCTCAGCTGCTTTAACCACGAAACATCTTCCTCAATTACGCACTCAGCTCGAAGAATGGCGACAGAAACAGCGAGCACCATCAGGGTTCAAGACGCCTCTATCCGACATAACGACCCACGCTTTGCAGGGAAATGGTGAGCTGCGCGGAAAGGACGTGATTGTCGCGTTCAGGACGCGTCCGCCACTTCCTGACG